ATGCAGTTTCTTAAAACTATTAGTGCTTCCTCATTTCGTTCACCTCTCAAATCGGCTTCCGTAGCCATGTTTGTAAAAAAAATTTGCTTTTACCTAGCCCTGCTTTTCGTAAAAAAAAAATATACCCAGAGGGGTCCCCAATTGTTACGTCTCACGCAACGGTCGCGAATTGACAAGAGTTACTCAACCGCGACTATCTCTTTTAGGTCAACGCGTAAGCGCTTTACCACGGGTACGTGAATAAAACTAGAGCAGGCTGGCAATGTAACTAAAGCACCGATCGGAAAAGTGACTAATTAAATAATTTTACCTATAGTTTGACTGGTCCAGAAACTCGTACGCCAGAAGCCAGGGATGTAACGTAGTTATAAGGATTATGTATAAGTCTTTACTGGTTTATAATAAATTATTATAGATATAGAGTTTAAGTATTTATTGTTCAAATTAGAGAACATCGGCAGTCATACGGATTCGAAATACAGAGTGTGTGTTACTATCGCTTTGCCTCCTCTTTTATAGCATAAAACACATAAAAAATAATCTATAAAGGGTTAAACCCAGAAGGGGAAAGTGCGTCACTGAGAATAAAGTCAGCTATTAATTGACCATTACTTTAATTAAGGGAATTCCCCTTTCGTAAAAATTCAAATTTTACTGACTTGTTCTCGACGTAACATACTAATCATAAAAAACTTGAATTTCAATTTTAAAAAACGATTGAATATTCAGGAAGAAATACAAATGACTAAACTGTTTTAGGTAGCCAAATTTAAAGAAAAGAAACAAGAGATAAAAATTGTAGTTAGTAATGTTGATCTCAATTGAAATTTAAAATTGTTCTAAATACCAAAAAAATGTGTAGTTTTGTATTATTAACATATATAACTAGATATGTATAAGTATTTTGATTATTAATAACAGTATCAAACTGTTATCTTTTTAGAAAAAGAAAGATTGGTGTAAATTATTTATTAACTGGTGGTTGAAGATATATCAAGTAAATTTATTTTTATATACGATTTTTGATGTTTTTATTGCATCCCATATGAATATTAAATACAAATTTTTTAATACCAAAATTTCGAGACTAATAAACAAATCTAATGCATAGAAATGAAATCAACATTTTAATAACAACAATATATAATCATTCCAAATGATTTATATTTTGAAAAATTAAAATTACTCTTCATCTTCGTCATTTTCATTGTCGATTAAATAATTATTTAGCGAAATGTTATCGTGTAATCTAGTGTCAAAGTATATAGTGACAAGTCTTGCTGATCTGAAGGAAGTTGAACTATTCCTTCTTGTGGAATGTACATAAGCCTATTCTAAAAACAGTCTTTCTACTTGACCGGTGGAAGCACACAACAACTGTAATTTTGTAGCTAAATCACTTACTTCCGAATGGAATGGTGCTGCAGCTCTTCGCAAAACTACTCCAGACTGATAATTCCTATTTAATAAATTCCTATAAATACCCTCGTTATTTATGTATGCGTGTAGCTGTAGCAAGACTGGTGACAAGTTCTGGGTGAAAAATTGTTTTACTTCATCGTTGATTTGCAGCAAATCTTTGATCTCGATATTAGGGGTGTAGAAAGTTTGCTGCTAGACCATACATGCTGACTGTCACGTAGCGTCTTTTTCAGATTAACCGTTCAATATTTTCTTCTATACCAGGTACCACTAATCTTAACTTTTTGTAGTCTTAACCTTTATTTTTTCATAGCTTGTGCTGCGCTATAGTCTGCTCTTTGACAAGTATTTGTTAATTCACATATGGGATCGAGCATTAGAAGATTGTCCTGTAATAACTATTCAAAATCTGCTCTATGAAGAAAATCATAATTTTCATTATCAACAATTCTTCGTGTATCTGGTTCCTGTGAAATGTCTCCAGTGTTCCTGTGAAAGTTTCAGCTCGATTCATTAAGTCGTTTTTTTTTGTGAGCATTGGTTGAACAAAAAGTTATTGGTTTATTTGAAAAATGGAAAAAACAGAGTTTCGAGTGGCGATAAAACATTTTAATTTGAAAGACCTTACACCAAAAGAAATCACAGTTGAGTTGAACGCCGTTCATGGCAAGTCTGCCCCCATGTTTAAGACTGTTTATAACTGGGTAAATGAATTTAAACGCGGCTGTACAAAAACAAAAGATGAACCTCCTTCAGGACGCCCTGTAGAAGTGAGTGCGCCCGAAATGATCAACAAAATCCACGATATGGTGTTGAGTGATAGAAGATTAAAATTGCGAGAATTAGTTGAGACCACAGGGGTATCAAAGGGTACAATCATTTCAATTTTGCATGAAAAATTGGGGATGAAAAAAATATCAACAACATGAGTACCGCGTTTGCTCACTGTTGAAAACAAACAAACCCGCGTGGTCACCTCTGAGCCTCTTTTGGCACGCATAAGTCGTAATCCAGAAGACTTTTGGCGTCGACTCGTAACTGTAGACGAAACATGGGTACACCACTACACTCCTGAAACCAAAGAACAGTCCAAACAATGTATTACCACAGGAGAACCATCCCCAAAGAAGGCAAAGACAGTAAACTCAGCTGGCAATATTATGGCCACGGATTGCTGGGATGCGTATGGAATCATCTACATCGACTACTTGGAAAAGGGCCAGACGATCACTGGACAATATTATGCGTCATTATTAGGTTAGCTAAAAGAAATAATCAGAGAAAAACGTCCTCACTTGAACAAAAAAAATGCCTTTTTCTTCAAGACAATGCTCGAGTTCACACGTGTGCAGTTTCGATGGCAAAAATTAACGATTTAAAGTTCGCATTAATTAACCATCCACCATATTCACCTGATTTGGTACCCAGTGACTTTTTCTTATTTCCTAACCTCAAAAATGGCTTGCCGAACAACGATTCACATCGAATGAAGATGTGTCGCCGAAACAAATGCCTTTTTTTTTTTTTTTATTAAACGTCGCTCTATTTATGCTCCATCAGTGCTAATCAGCGACGGAGGCTTGCAATGTGTTTGGAAACAAAGCACGTGAAACTTTTTTCAGTGGTGCTTGTATCAATCAGCAGGAACTGGGAATCGAACCCGGGCCTACCGGTTAAAAATTATGGTTTAAAAAAAAAACTGGAAGGCCGTTTATTAAAATATATCGACCTTCAAGAAGATTATGTTGAAAAATAAAAAAAAATTACATACGCTAAACTTTTTTTTCCTTCTTTTTGTAAAGACTTATTGACCCATTCTCGTACTGTGCTTTTTCCTAAAAAATTGCTACTGTGGCTATTGCATGTTGAATGCCAAATGTCAACCAATCGTTCCATTAGCTTCATATTTACAAAATTATCAGTAATAATTGAAAAAATGTTTGTGTGAAATCTTTCTCTTGCCATCCTAATAGCCTCATCAATAAGTTGATGAAGTGCTTCACCGGTTTTTCTCAAGGTACTAAAATTTTATGAGTTGAGAAACATACTCGTATATTTTCTGTGGCCTAACTCATCTAAACGGAGTATTTTAACATTTTGTGTGTTTGCAGATTTATTTTTCCACCCATCTAGTAAAACCATATCTCTAGTTCCCATATTTAAAATTAATTGTTGCATATCATCATAACAGTTATTAAGAATACGATAAAGTTTTCGGTAAAGCGTAGTCGGTGGTGCATATTGTGGATTTAATGCTTGGACAAAATTTTTTAAATTAATCGCAACTATCGCAACTTTCACAAAAATTATATTGCATCCGAAAAAGAATTTTCCGAGTAATATATCTAAATTTCCAGCATTTATATTATCTAAAAGAATATAATGTGATCCGATGTTTTAATAAACAATTTGGTTTCAAGTTGAATATTAATAAGTTGGTTGTTTTCACGATTCCAACGGCTTTTACTATGTTTACTTACTTCTCTTACTAGTATTACTCGCGTCTGCTATTGAATTTACATATATATATTTATACTTGGTAACAGAAAATTCAAATGAAACGCATGCGCAAATGCTTTTTGGAGTTTCTAACATTAATGACATTGTTGTTTTTGACATTATTTACACGTTTCTTACATATATGGTAAGAAACCTCTGAATCGTGTCATTTACCCATCACTGGTAACTGCTATCCTTTCATTTTGCTTTATTTATCATAAGTTATTCTTTCCTTGCGGCTTTCATATTTAGTCCTAAAAAACTACCTATTTGCTTTAAACCTCGCGCCTAAACATCGTTTGGCGTTGTGGGAGCTCGTGGTCTAACCATTCTCACTAGATGGTGTCAGCAAGTGGTAGGAAATTCGCTATATAAGCCCGCTTAGCGGCCCGAACACTTCGAGCGTATGAGCAAGGTGTTATCGGCCGTCGAACCTCACTGACGACTCCAGCCGTTAACACTGGGACGAAACACTGGTGCGTTACTAACCACATTCTTCCCACCTCACGAGTGTGTGCCTGGCTAGCTCGCACTCGTGTAACCTTTTTCTCGATCTCTCGTTCCACATTACAACTGTCCTCGACGAATCAAAGATTTCTGATTAGCCAAAGCAACCAAAGCGTAGACCTAACAACCAGGAGCTTCGTCAGAATGGAATGATAAAATATGGAATGAGTTTATTTTCCTTCATTCAAGATATCGAAAATTATTCTTAATTTTATTTAAAATCCGTGTAATTTATTAGAAAAGCGAATGAAGAGAGGGGGTAACGAGAGAAATAATAATTTTCATTTTGAGACCTTCCTTGCAAAAATTCCATAACCAATCAAGATAATGTCCATTCACTAGGTAATTGAAAAATCTGAATTTTCACGTATCTCCTAAAAAGTAATCGAAAAAGGAAAATTAGCACTGATATGAGGGATAAACAGAGTAATTAATGCAGATTTTTCATTTTCGCTACTAATTTCCCGTGAAAATGGGGGGCCAACTTCGCAGCCCTTTTCTGAATGTCTGAATTCTTCTGCAAACGACCTAAAGAAAACCGTTTATACTATTTCCTAGTCATTTATCTATAATTGATTATAATTGATTATAATTGATTATTGATTATTTATAATTGAAAATTGATTGAATAAAACTTATCGTTGCTGATTTTCGTATTCATTCATTCCTATAGAGGAGAGTCTTTAATTGATTAGTTGTATGATGTCAAATAAATTCTAAATAGTATAGTTTGGTTCATGTGTAATCAATTGTGTTAAGTGTTCTAAATATTTACATGGATTGGTCAAAAACCTACCCATGAATGAGGATTTAGGGCTTCAAATTTGCTTGGCCAGCAATATGGCTGTTAGTATAAATGTGATGGTTGTAAAATGTGTTACTCTCCACAATTTTTGAAGATAAGACGTTCGTGGCAGCAGCAAAATAGACGTATATGGGCTTATCGTTCGAATGTAATGCAAACCTATGGCCCTATTATTTGGAATACAGCAATGCGTGTTGGCTGAATGAATATCGCGATTAACCATAGCAATGATTAAATTAACCATATTATCTACAGTTCATATTAATTAAAACATTAATCATAGGTAGGTTGCACATCATGTATATAAAATATGCCAAAAATATTTGTTTCTGAAGCTGATCATATATTTTATTCAAGAGTTTATTGATTTACATTTCAACATATTATTTTAACAGCAATACTTTGCTAATTCATTTTTGTGTAGGTACACCTGTCTGATCTTACCAATTAACTAGTAGACTATTTTATGCTATTACTTAAGTAAATGTGTATGAAATATTAACTGACATGACTTCAAGGTGAATAAACTTGGTGCTATCTATTTTTTTTACAGAGATTCTATGTGTAATCATAGAATCTATATATAATTAAAAGTATGTTTTAATATCCTTGTAGACTTGATAGACTTTTTATACTACTGGAAACTGGCACCAATGCAGTTACCAAAAGAGCTGCTGCAGAGCAGTTAGGAGAGGCTCAGCGTCTGCATCCTCATGAACTGCATCACCTGCTAGCACGAGTTTCCATTCTTCTGAAATCTAGTCAGTGGGATACTAGAATTTCCGCTGCCCATGCAGTTAAAGCTATAATTTCACAAGTGCCAGTTTGGAATCCTAAACCTATCAAATGTCTTGATACAAAAGGTTAGATATATAATTTAATTTCATTTAAATAAAATAATTTATTATTAAATAATTTTGTCACAGATGATTTAGATAAGCCTTCATGTTCAAGTTCAAATAATAAATTGAACCTTCAAAATTTCAATATGACAAAAATACTTGAACACAGTTCACATTTAACAGGTTCTGAGGGTTCTGAATATGATCTTATTGTAGCAGAAGGAGATATTGCACTGGCACAAGATGAAAAAACTTTAAATTCAAATTTGGATTTTGATCCCTATTTAATTGGGGTATACAACAGTGATATATTTTCTTCCAGTGATCTGATTGTTACAACTCCTACGTGTTCAAATAAAGCAGATGAAGTGAAAGTGTCTATAAAGGAAACACTGCAACATACTGTTGGTCTTAGTAGAAGAGAAATGAATCGAGCTAGAAGAAAAGCTAGACAATCGATATCAAAACATAGATCAAGAGAGCCAGATGATAATCCAGAAATTGGCAGCTCCTCAAATTTAAAAAATCAAAACTCAAAACCAATAATAAAAAAAATTAAATCAGAGGAGAACTCAGGTGCATGGTATAATTCTAATAATGATACTGTAATGGATCCAAGATGTGCTGTCCCTGACAGCACCGGATGCTGGCCAGATTCAGCTATTGAATGGCCATTAGAAGCATTTGCAGAAAATCTCCTTCAAGATCTTTTTAGTTCAAAATGGGAAGTGAGACATGGATCTGCAACAGCACTTAGAGAACTCATCAGATTACAAGGACAGGGTAATTAAAAATTCACTCTAATATTTTATAAGATTTAGTCATTTTTAATGCACACACATTTGTAATATAATTATTTTTTATCATAAATAGGAGCTGGCAAATCAAGAAAACATACAGAAAAAGAAATGCAAGAAAGTCATCAGCAGTGGTTGATTGATGTAGCTCTCCGGCTATTATGTGTCTTAGGTATTGACCGTTTTGGTGATTTTGTATCTGATCAGGTAGTTGCACCTGTCCGTGAAACTTGTGCACAGGCTTTAGGTTCACTGATACTCATGATTTCTGAGCAAAATGAGGTACCAGTGCTATTTGAGTCCAATGAACAAGTAGCTAAGAACATTGAAAACCATAACAAAAATCAGGATATACAACAGCACATTGCTGAAAAAGATATAATGGGTCTTCTAAATATAATGTTAAATCTATTGGAGCACAGTGAATGGGAAGCAAGGCACGGTGGCTTACTTGCACTTAAATATTTGCTTGCTATTCGAAATGATTTGCTAAGTGAGATTGTACCTAAAGCTTTTCCAGCAATAATGAAAGGTCTATCAGATTCGGTAGAAGATGTTGGTGCTATGGCAGCAAGTGCTTTGATTCCTGTGGCTGCTGATCTACCAAGGTTACTTGAACCAGTTCATTTGGAAGCGATAGTATCGAGACTTTGGCAGCTGCTCAAGGACCAAGATGACCTAGCTGCTGCTTGTAACAGTTTTATGGGTCTTTTGGCGGCAATACTCTCATTACCTTCAGCTCGAGCGTGCTTGACGCCTCAGCCGCTTTCTGTGGTTAGTGAATTAAGCATTCTGTAATAACCAAATAGTTTAATAATTAGATAACGTAATTGATGTCTGAATGCGCAGGTACTACCTCGTCTATGGCCATTTTTGAGCCATTCGAGCTCGAGTGTACGCCAGGCGACGTTGCAGACACTGGAAACTCTAACTGAAGAGGGTGAGCTTAAATCCATTAAAGAGCTAAGGCCAATAGAAAACCGCTCAAAGGATGGTATTAGCAATAATAGCAGAGAAGCTGTGCTTCAAGAGGCTCTGTGTCATGTATTTGAACGTGTATTGATTGAGCACATAGCCAGTATTCAGGAAGTGGCCGAGCGTGTGTGGAAAAAACTCGTGATGCTAAGCGAGCTAGAGTTGCTATTGCATGCAGCCTGCCCAATGGTAAGTACTTGGCTGTGCTTGGCTATGCAACCAGAGCACGTGCCTTTCAATTCGGCACTGCTGATGCACGTGCAATCACAAAGGTGTAGTCGACCTAGCTCGCAACATCAGCAACACGGTGAAACTAACGATTTGTCGCAAGTCGAACAACAGCAGATACCATCAGCATTAAAGGTTTATATAGGTGGTATTGAAACTGTTTCTCAGAGCACACGTCACGCCAACGTCGTGCGAGCGCGTTGCACTGCTACGAGAATGCTTGGTCTTTTATCGGCTTATGTGGTTAAACCTGCTCCAAGGCTTATTTACAGTCCGGAGGTACCTAGCCCTTCTCTTTGCTATGCCAAAGTTTTATTAGCTCATCTACATTCGCGGTCAGCATTGCAAAGAACCGTTGCTGCCATGACCATGGCTTATTGGGCTAGTTTGGATCCATGTGGACCGCCCCAAATACCAGAAATACTGCGGTAACAAATAATTATGTTTTATTTTCAATATATTTGTGAGACTTACAATGCATGATCTTCGGCCCCCTCTCTTTCGCTATTTATCTTTTAATAGCTTATTTATGTTTATTCTTCCTCAATGTGGTTCTTTTCTGCGTAGGGTACAGCTGTTTGTATGTTTAAATGAGTGCATCTACTATGACGAAATTGCTGGCTCCGTTACACGGCTGCTACATGAGTGTCGTGACTATATAGCCACACTCAAACATTACAAATTTACTCTACCTCTGGAGGTAAATAACACCGGTATCATGACGCTCGACCAAATCGCTCAGGTTGCCACAACTCCGGCGGTATTTTGTTCTGGATCTACTTTATTGATAAATCAACAGCAACAAAGTACCAATATCAAACTTAAACCAAAACTTCTCGAAAGTTTGGAAGAGCGGCGCCGTGGCTTAGAGGTTGGAGCTGCTGCGAGTTCTGCTCAACAGCAGGCCCTACATATCAGCACACAAGCAGCTCTTTCTGGGGCTGCAACAATGTTGCACTGTCTTCCGCAGCCGCCTCAACCATTAAATCCTTTAGTCAAACCCCTCATGGAGTCTATAAAAAGAGAAGAGCACGAGCAACTGCAGAGACTTGCTGCCAAACACCTTGCCTATTTAGTTAACCTTTGTGTCGGTAGGACACCTTGCCCTAATCCTAAGGTACTATTATCTAGTTTTTATATTAAAAAGTCCTTTTTTCAAACAATATTTGAATATTTTACAGATAACAACAAATTTATGTACATTCCTTTGTTCTGATCCGGAATTTACACCACGCGTCATTAGCTCGGATGTAGGCTGTGAACCCTTCAATGGTATTCTGACTTTAAGTAACAGGCAAAAACTTGCAGAAAGGCAGGCTTATAATCGAGGGAATTTAAGCGGTCTCAGTGGTAACAGAGGACCGGGCCGACCATCAGCTACTGATCTACCCATTGACGAAATTTTGGCTTGTGAAGAGCCAGAGGCAAAAGCTGCTCGGACAAGAAGACAAGGAGCTACTTTTGCTCTCACCGCTATTGGTTAGAATTCTGCTATTAATGTTGAAACTATGCAACTTTATTATATGTATCTTTAAATCCATGGGAGACTGGGAGAGTGATTACAAAAATTGCAACCTCATTTCAGCAAATGATTCCATTTTCAGCACATAAATTTTCGATTCACAAGAAGTTAATTGTTGGTAAAATAGTATTTAATCGATGAAAAGAATTTTTTTTTCTAATTTATTTGATATGAGAGTATATTTATATATAGATATAAATTTAAAAGAAAATTGAAAAATATCAAAGTTTGTTATATTAAAAAGGAAAATTTTTTTTAATTGAAATCGTTTTTGTTATGGCATGAAAACAAAGCGGTAAAATTAATGAATATGTTATATTATAGTACCACTTTAGTACTTGTTTAACAGAAAAGAGTGAAAAGAAGGCTATGTATAATAAAACAGACTATTAATTAATAAGCTGTCGGTGGACGAGTGTGTACTTCGACAATCTTGATCGAAATGATGATTGTCTTTGTTTCTCATGTTACTGCGAGATACCGTTTCACGGCTCTCGTTATTCGTTTTCACCTTTTCTCAGCTATTTAGTGTTACTACGCAGCGCAGTAACCATTCTTCACAATCCTTTATTTTTAATATTTAATACTTTATTTTACAAAATATAATTGATTGGTCTATCGATTTAAGCTGAATAATCTAAGTTTCTTGATTAAAATTTATATTTTGGTTTTGTTGGTATCATATCACTTTTTTCGAAGTCGTAATTTCATTTTTTTGAAAGCAAAATAGCATTGGCTACATTGAAACTTTGCTATGAAGTTTCACATTAGCTAGCACAGTTGGATCATAGAAAACGACGATACATAAATTAAAGATCTAAATCGAAAATAGTAGTACTAGTGAATTTTACTGTATTGTTCAGAAAAGTAGTATATTATAAATGAGAGAAGATTTTATTTATATCATATTCTAGAATATTGTTTAAAATATATATAGAGTTTAGTAGAATTAACTGTTCTAAATATTTTAAAGAATATATATTTTATCACTTCTCTTACTTTAGGTCGTATTAACGTTTGATTTTCTCTTCGGTTTAAATAAAATTAATTCGTTTTAATGAAAAAAAAAAAAAAAAAATTGAATTTGTAGAAAAACTCTGATTTGAAATGACTTATACATATTGTTATGTTTTGGATGAAAGAGTAAGAATATAAATTATATAAAATTTATAAGAAAAAAGCCTAAAAAAGCATAAAAAACCTATATTATTAAACAACATGACAACATGAAAAAAGGATAAAAAGAGATGAAAGAACTATGAAAGGGGAAATAAAGTTACAACGCGACGACATGACTCACACTCATATGTACACGCATCACGTGATCAAGCATTACATTGGTTTGACAAACGAAATATAGCGCAACGACAGAAATGTAATCGCACAGTTATGTAATTTTGTTGTATTTTGCTGAGACAAGTATGTACATACGAGTACATTTAGTACTGTATCTGTTTGGTGCACGCGAATAGGTACAGCGAGTGCTGCCATCATGGATCGCTCTCCTAAGAACGCATTCCATTCAAAATTTCATGCACTCATCATCTCGCATGTACGCAAGAGATTATTACGATATAACATACTTCCGGTCAGGGCTACGAAATGAAGTAATTAAGTAATATATTACGCAGATTACTAACAAGGACCCCCCCCCCCCCTTCAACCCGTCTCCATCGATTTCAATATTCGTTTGATATGTTGTAGATTATAGAAAAATAAGTAATTCGTGTTTTTTTTATCTACAGAAAATCAATTTGAGAGGATGGAAACCGCCATCGAAGTCCATTCTCAAAAATTAATTTTGTAATTTATCTCAAGTTGTAATTAATATTCTAAATTTAAATATAGTACATTATTAAACAATAAAGTCAAAGTATTGGCAACGCCATAGCATGTGTAAATTGACACCCAAGGCGAAGCCGTGGATATTAAATACGTACTAAAGGCTTGCCATTTTCTCTCCCCTGGTTAATATACTGGTTATAGGCTACAGTGCGTAAAATGCGCGTTGTGAAACCTAACATCCGGGTTTCAAGACGTTTTTTACACGAAATAAGCAAAAAAAATTTCATTTCACTTATGTAAATGCGGAACTAATGCACGCAGTTCCGACCATAAGAAATGCAACTCTTATGATTTTTTATTGACAATATTACCATTTTTGTACCTATTTTTATGAAAAAAATGTTTAAATGAGTCAAAAGAAAACTGGTAACATTATTATGTGTTAATTATAATAATAAAGTTGACCCGTTGGAAATTATTTTTCGAAACACTTTTAAATGAAAGCTTTAAAATGAAAAAACCACCCCTAAAAATATTTTTTCCATTTTGTTGGGTTCATTTAAAATTTTTTTTCATAAAAATAGGCACATAAATGGTAGAATTGTCAAGAAATAAAATAAGGATTGCATTCCTTATGGTCGAAACTGTAAATACTATTTCCGCATTTACATGAGAAGTAATATTAAATTTGTTTTATTGTGAAATATCAATTGGAGTTTGAAATAAATTGCAAAATTTATTTTTAAGAGTGGACTTTGCGGGCGGATTACATACTCTTAAAGTATTTTTCTGTAAATAAAAAAAAATGTGTTACTTAATTTTCAATCATCTACAACATATCAAAAAAATATTGAAATCGTTGAGATTAGGCTGGGGAGGTGGGATTCCTTGTAAATAATACAAACGTTTACAAAGTAAGAAATGAACTTAAGTGGATTGAGGCTATTTAGTTTCAATTAAAGATAGCTAAGAAGACTCAGAAGTCCACATAAGATTTTTCTTAAAATCAAAGCGAAGTTGACCTCTCCAAAGAGCATCCATCATGTCACCTGATTTTCTAATGATTGGACCTCGGCAACTCGATTGGACTGAAAAGTTCTTAAAAGATTGGGAGTCTTTTTAACTAATGTTCATTAACCATTTTATATCGAGACCTCTTTCCCGGGCAAATAGTGACTTTTTTCAAAATATTGTATTTGTAAAGGCTTTAACGAAGATCAATCCACCGTTTTCTTTGTACTATTTTTGAAGTGGGTCCTGGATGACCCATATGGTCGTAAGGGAATTTTTTTGAATCAAAAAATTTTTATATTGAAACAATTATATATTTAACACAAGTTTATGTAGAATTATATATTTTGAGAAAGTATGAACAAAATTTTATAAACTTTTATTTACATGCTTGTACGAAAGATTACGATTGAGTAACGAAAATTACCGTGGACCTACAAGCCGCATGAGTTTGCGAGTACACAGGTACGTAGAGCTCAGATGCCACGTTTATTATACCGCTTTAGCATAGAGAATCTTTATACCACCGCAAGATGTTTGAGTATACTGGTTCGACCGACTGGATCCTGTAGGACCCACTACCTTTACGTATGATGTCCCATCAACATGATATAATATATTTTTATAATTTAGAGCTTACTTTTATGTCGCTAAGTGGCGCATGAATATCTGTGATAGGAAAATTCATATTGAAGTTATATATACAAGTGTACATAGAAAACTGTCTATATTATATTGCATAATCTAGAGCTTCTCTTCATGTTGGTAGGTGGCGAGGTATTAGCCCCTGTAGGTTATTATATATTATTATAATGTTATTATATACTTAGCATTACCCGTTAGGTTTCAACTAAAAGGTAGAATAGAACCTTGTCGTAGGATTGAATCGCCTGGGTAATAGTGTTTTGGGGTTTTGAATTTGGAGGTTAACTGGTCATATGTTTGTAACTCTTGGGTTATATTGTTTGGAGTTTTAAGTTTGTGATTAACATGTCGTAGGTTTGAAACTCATGAGTTATAGTATTTTGAGGTTTCACTTGTTATAGTGTTTGGAGGTTAACTGGATGTATGTTTGAAACTTGTAGGTTATAGTCTTTTATAGGTTTGAGCTTGGAGGTTAGCCGGTCGTAGGTTTAAAACACCCTAGTTATGTTGATTTAACCTGTCCAAAATCAAATTTCATATCTTTATGCGTTCATTGATGTCCCGTATATATGCGACGTTCTGTATCAAACGGAACAAGGCTCTGCCTAAAACTCATACTAATGGATTTTAATGTTTTTGAGCTTAAAATGTTTGTTAATAAACCCTCTTCTTCAGCTATTGTGGCTTTTTTAAAAAATTCAAAATGGCGGCTCAATATGGCTTCCGGAAATCAAGAAAAATCAAGGTTTTGCGTATAAACGTTAGTAACAAAAAAAGATGCTCAATTTAATCGAATTCAGGTGAAAAAGTCTGTTATTAGCATGCTTAAAAAGTTGAATAAGCAAATTAACGAAATCTAATCTGGAGGATCCACGATGGCGCTTAAAAACTCAAAAATCGCCAAAAACTAATATAAATCGAGCCTGTGACTCAAGATTTTGATATTTACACTCTTTAAATTGATCTCAATTGCTACAGTTTGGTCATAAATTTCATATTCCGGATTTCAAAAACGGAAAATCTAAAATGGCGGCTTGAATCGACTCAAAAGTTTCAATAAAACAAAGAAAAATAGTAATATCCAGGGAGGGAATAGTCTCGGACGAATACATTAATGATTAACCCATCAACAAATGTTTATTTTTGTTCTATACCCTGATTTTGATTTCATAAAATTATCATGGTGGATCTAAGGTGGCGTCTTCAATTTAAAAATCTTTATGAATGAAGTAAATCAAGACTGTAACTTTAGATTTTGACATTTACACTCCTTATATTTAACTCAAAAGCAAAATGCTATCACACATTTTAAATATAGATTTTCATACAAATTCTAAAGGATACGTTCAATAACCGTGTGAAATTTAAATTTATTTCTCCATAATCCTGGTTAGCGGTGAATATATTGAATGAGCAGTCACGGACAATGGAATCCCATCCCCTGAACCTCGATTTTGACATAGCCTTTCAAAACTTCAGCCTAACTGAACTCTGGGGAAATACTTGAGACAATTTA